GAGAACACGGGATAGATGGAACAAATCTCTCTACCAACAGCTTTTGTCTTTGTTCTTTGAGTTGAAAGTAAAGATCTGGGTGGGCTATGTGGTTCTTTCATTTATATAATTACATTGTTACATTTATATAGTTTTGGTTTTGAAAGACAAAGTCTGGGAAATTGGAGATAAGAGGAAACAAAATTATTCTGCATAATGTATTAAGCTGGAGTTGCCTGCTGATAGCTGGAAAAGGAGGAGGTATGGGATGGACGGAATAGAGAACAGAGAAGAAAATCCCCCAAACCTAGAGTGGGCCCCAGAAATGGCAGCAGGCTGAGGCCGAAGGTGAATGAGGCCAATAGGATACATCCTGTAACAGCAGATAAACATTAAGATAAAACAGAAATGTTAAAATGCCTCCTGTTCTTTGTGGCAGTTCTCCCCCACCCCCCTAAACTCCAGTACAAGTTTATTACAATTGTATTCATTTTTGTATTCATTTTCCTTAGGGAAATGAAGGATGAAGAATTGGACCAAATGTTTGGGGCAAAGCACCTAAGGGAGGGATGGTCAGCTATAAGAGTGGTCTGGGAAAGAAGGAGCAGGAGTCTGCAGGAGTCTGAGTCAGAGCAGGAACCCTAGTCTGAATGATGTGGGATGGGGGTTCATTCGATGTTATTTAGATTTGGGTATCGAAGGAAAGGATTATCCCCAAATCTAAGAGGACTCATGGAGTCCCACACAAACCTCCAGACAGCCTCCCTGCCTACTGTCTCACCCTGTACCAATCCATTCTCCCACACAGGATCCTGAGTGACCTCTCTGAAGCGCTGTGACTGTGTCCCTTCCCTGGGTCCTCACTGCTCAATGATAAAAAGCTGGCAATACGGTCAGTTAGAGCTTTCCTGACCAGGCTGCTGCCTCCGCTACAGCCTCGTCTCTCACATGCCTCTCTTCCACTGTGTATGTCAGCTGTACCACACATCCGGTTCCTCTGACACGGGTCACGCTCCCCTTTGTCCCTCACAGTCTCACATGCTATTCAGTCAACAGGAACATTCTTCATCACTCCCCTCCTCCATCTCCTTGGGTCTGCGGCATCTCCACCTGATTATCCTGCTCCTTCAGGTCCAAGCTTAGATATAATTTCTTCTGGAAAGCCTCTCCTGACACCTGGTTTGAACTTCTGAAATCTGAACGTGTCCTCTGAAAGTATGCATCATCACGAATGAACTGTTTGCTTATTTGTTCCTCTTTACCAGGTTGTAAACTCTGTGAGTGTGAGGACCTGGGCCCCTAGTTTACTATGGAAATGCCCCCTGCCCATATGCCTAAACCAGACCTTGGTGTTGTGCAACCAGTAACTTCTGGGTTGGCCGACTGAATAATAGACTCGACACAGGTTCAATTAATTATGAGCATCTGCATCATCTTGGAACTCTGACAGTTCTATGAGGAAACCCCACATGGGGACGAAGGGTTTCATCCCCACAGAGGGATGCATCCTAACAGATTTCACACTTCTTATTTGGCTTTATTGAATCCTATACATTTTAGGATTCTGGCAGGAGGACCACTTTATAAGCTCAGATGACCCTGGACGGCAGCTAGAAAAACAGGCACAAGGAACTTACCACCTTGGGACAAATGAACCTCCTTGAGCAGAGAGGATTCTGGGCAATCCCCAAATGGCAGACCTAGAGGTTAATGCTGGGTGGTTTCAATTACGGCTAAGATAATAGTCCCTGGAACCAGCTACATTAATTGTCTCCTGTTAATGCTGTCAGTGCTGAGGGCCGGAAGGAACTCCCTCTCACATGACCTTCACAGGCCTCTCACCTGACATGGCCACGTGTGGAGTTTTGAAGAAGTGACCCTAATCTGACACTGTCCCCCTCCACCCTCCGCCATGAACCCTTCCTGTCCTCGTCTTTCATCACTCCTGGCTGGCCACAGGGCCCGTTCCAGGCTCACACCGCGTGCATGTCTGTCCTCTCTCAGCTGGCATGCTCCCAGAGCAGGGATTGCGGTCTGTTCCATCTCTGGCTCCCCAGAGGCTAGTATAGCATCTGGCACAGAGCGTCTGACAACTGGTCTGGAGTCTCCAAAATGTCAATGTCATGTCAGGAAAGGCAGAGACAAAAGTGTGGAAAACTGCTGTAGATAAAAGAAAACTAAAGAGACAGAACATCTATCGATCCATCTATCTATCTATGTATCTATCTATATCAGCTAGTAGATTTTACTCATGTTAAATTTCTTGAGTGTGATAATACTCCTACTCTTAGGAGATACATAGGAAAGTTTTTTTTTTTTTTTTTTTCAACGTTTATTTATTTTTGCGACAGAGAGAGACAGAGCATGAACGGGGGAGGGGCAGAGAGAGAGGGAGACACAGAATCGGAAACAGGCTCCAGGCTCTGAGCCATCAGCCCAGAGCCTGACGCGGGGCTCGAACTCACGGACCGCGAGATCGTGACCTGGCTGAAGTCGGACGCTTAACCGACTGCGCCACCCAGGCGCCCCTACATAGGAAAGTTTATTAAGGATCACGTCTCTCAGCTGCAGTTAACTCTCAGATGGTTCAGTAAACAAAAATCCACAGACACAAACATATGTACGTATGCCTAAGAGAAATAGGTATAGTAAATATCACAAAGTTAAGTGGGAAATCTAGATGAAGAGTACATGGTTGCTCACTATCCTATTTGCACACTCTTCTGTAGGTTTGGAGTTTTTCAAAAAAAGTTAAGTCTCAACTCAGGTAAGGAACCCTAATGGGATCTGCTATACTGGAATTGTGCGGTCAGTTAGGCCACGACCCTAAGGGCCAGGGAAGTGTGGAGGCAGGCTGTAGGGAAGGGAGAAGGCACCTCAGGAAGTACCTAGATAAGAGGAGTGGTAGCTTTGGATGCTGAAATAGAAGCGCATAGCCACGCAGGAGGGTGGGAGTGATAAACCCCAGATCCAAAGGGCAGACCAAGCCCTGTGCATATCCAGCTATTTGGCAGAGGTTTGGGTAAGTCATCAGGGAAGTGCAGGAAATGATAGATGATCAGAGGTGGAGCAAAGGGTCAGCAAGGCAGGCTAGCAGGCAGGCAGGAAGGCAGGAAGGCAGGCAGGCAAGATAAGCAAAGGAGCACAGAGGAGTGAGAAATCTAGGCAAAGCTCTGGCTTGTCTGGGCACAGTTAGAACACTTCAGAGAAGCAAACAAACTGGGGAAAGAGCAGCCAAGTTGCTGAGCACCCAGGATGGGAAACAAAAGCTAGACAGTGAGCACCAGAAGGTGCAGAGAGCTGGCTGAATCTGTCTGAAAATGAGGGAAGGAGTGGGGACGGTATGTGATAACCCTGGTCTTTGTCTCTTTCTTAGTTGGTGAGGCAAGAAGGAAGAGTGGCTAAAGCTTGCTTCCTCTCGTCTGGTAGCTGAATCAGAGAGATGCAAACTGGAACAGAATTCCCAGGGCACATCAGGCCTCGATTCCAAACCCCCTCCGTGACTGCGGGCCCATGACGTACATCCCTGCCAGTCCCTGCATGCTGCTACCAGTAAGTTTTCTCTTAGTCCTCAGTGATGATTATTCCCTTTAAGAATTCTGGGCTCCTGGTTTGTGGAGAAATCTCTCTTTAGACGAGCAGCTAACCTCAATGTTCACTACCCCCTCTCGTGTACGCATTCTTCCAGAATCTCAGGTAGGCTTTGCTTTCATCACTTAAGTGCTGCTCAGAGTTCCTGAAGGCCAACAGCTGGGGTATTTGACAACCTGCCTTTGTCTGCCCCATGTCTGCCATACCCAGCCCGGACCCCCAGTGCAACATACTAAGGACACTTCTTTTTGTTCTTGGATTCTGATGATAAAAGAAAGCAGGAGAAAAGGTTTAGAGAAGATCCCTCCCAAGCAACAGATCAGTGAGGGGGGCACAGACATGCCTACAGGGACCAGATGGTCTGGCCCTCACAAGGAGTATTTGAAATTCAGGTGGTCTTTTTGCCCTGCACACAAGTCACACAGGCAGTGCTCACTGGGGTGCAGAGGTACAGACAGAGGTGAGGGTGGGGGTGCTGGGTGAGTAGTCATGTTGCTGAGCGCGTTCTCCGGAAGTGGACTCTGTTAAGCCAACGATAAAGAGATGCCAGGGGAGGCAGTGTGGTGACAAGACTTGTGTAGGTCAGAAATGGGCACCTTTCAGACTTGGGCTCCCTCGCCAAAGGACAGCACAGCCCCAGCACTCACAGCACCACCTCTCTGCTCCTCCGGCCAGGAGGAGTCCATGAGACTCTTCTAAAGGGCCTCTGCTTCCTCTCTTGACCACGACCTACCTCGCTACTGGGATCGAGCTTTCCTCCGCTCCCTGTCGTTCTGTGTCCCGGGGCTCCAGATGCTGAGTTCCACTCACTCTTTAACCTCTCTTGGAAGTGCTTAGTCATTGATCCGGCCACGTGGCATCCGCTTTCCCGCTGCGGGTCTGCTATGCTAACTAAGAAAGTTATTTTCCAGCCTCGTTGGAAATGGCAGGAACTTGAATTGACTTGCTAGACTGGCAGTGCTGGAGTTCGGGCCACGTGCCAAAGGAAAGAGTGGACGGCCAATCACGGGGGAGCACACTTCTCACTCTGTAGCCTGAGACTAAACCTTCCTGTTGGCAAGGGAGAGCTACCTTAGGCCTCTGCCGCCAGCTTCACACTGGGAGGCGTGCTGTGACCTCATGGTGGCTCCACGTGCCACACGCCGTGGGGGCTCAGGAGGGGAACTCTGAACCACCGTTTTCTAGGGATAAAAATCCAGAGGACAGAAGGTTAATCCTAGAGATAGGAAAACAAAATCCTGGAGAGAGCAGAGATGGGAGGAGACCAAGGAGTCCCTGGCTGCGCCTGCGGCAAAGGTAAGGCGCAGAAAGCCAGGAGTCCAGAGAGTAGGTGCCGGGCTAGAGGGTGTGAGGGCCAGCCCCGGGCCCCCACTGGCGCTGCTGCGAGCCCTGTGCCCCTTTCTCAGCCCCGGCCCCATCCCAGCTCCTACCTGGTAGGTACCTGTCGTGGCTGTGGCTGTGGCTGTACTCGGTGGTGGTGAGAGGCAAGTGAGTCTGTGTAAAGGGTTGGCTGCCAAACAGATTGTCACTGCGAAGGTTGTGGCAGAGCTTCTCCAGGAAGCGGAGGACGTAGGTGATGCTGTTGACTGCCGGGAGGTTGAGGGTGTGCTGTTCGCGGTCAAACACGGCTGTGGAATGAAGGAAACGGGGCGAGCGCGTCAGCCCGGCAGTGCAGGGCAGGCCGGGCGGAGGAGCCCAGCCCACTGCTTGCCTCAGGCTCACCTGGTTACACAAAGCAGTCGGTGCCCAGGTTTCCTCCCCTCCCCTCCCTCCCTCAAGGGTTTGATTTTTGCCTCCACCTCCAAAGGGCTTGCAGTAATGGGAGTGGCCAGGCCAGGCCTGTTGCACCTGGGGCTCTGAGGCGATTTTACTCAACTTGTGAAAACAACTGTGAACACAACTCTATCTGCTCCATCAGTTGGCTGGGCCTCCTCGGGGAGATCTGCTCATTTTGGGTTCTATTTCCATAAGAACTGCCCAAGAACAGAGAAACCGGGCAGATGAGGAGAATACAGCTATTGCCGGCAATGGTTTGGGTGCACAATGTGATCTGTGTTAGGGCACTAGAGTTTCAGCAGCATTTGGAAATATTCCATGCTTGGTTTTATTTTCCTCCCTATCTATCTCTATTCAAAAAATATCTGTATAATCCTTAAAAAGCAGGCCTTTGCATTTGTCTCTGAGGGCAGCAAGGAAATGGGGAGATAGGCTGGTCCCGGGAATCAAATTTGGGACAGAAGAACCCTAGGAAAGGTGTGGGTGACAGCAACCCCACAGAGGCGCAAAGAAGGCCTCATCCCTGCAGACTACTGCCCGGAAGCCTCGGCCTCCCAAGGAAAGGAAAGCTGGAGTCCCCAGCAGTCCTCCGACTTCTAGAACAATGTCTTCCGTGCGTGCCCTCACCCTCCACACAGCCAATTACTCCCTCGCCAGGGCTCCCACGTCACCCTTTACACATTTCTCGCACATGAGAATACTTCTCTCCTGTCATCTTTTCTCTTCCTCCCCGGCCAGTGCCTGGCAATAACCTCTGACGTCAGATAAAGGCTCAAAAAATGTTTGCTAACAAAATACAGTTATTTATGGGGTCTTCTAAAAAAATATAAGTATCCGTGAGGGTCTGCCAAGTCAGCTGGGTTCCCTGAGACTGGATACTGCAACTTGTTAGAGGAAAGGGGCGGGAGACTATGCAGGATCATGCAGTTAAGACTGAAAGGCTCCAGGTCAAGTCTTCATAGACTTGGTGGGTATAGAATGGGGTTTTGGACTTGGGAACACGGAAACAGAACTAGGGCACAGCAGAAAAAGTGAACATTCTCAGTGAAAACAAAAAACAGCATAGTTGAATCAAACTCTCATAGCAGGAAAGAGAGAGGGAATGGTTTTTCCCCACTCTGCTCTGGGATTCAACTTCCTGGTAACAGGGCTGGCTTAGGACTGGGCAGCTAAGGAGCCGGAAGAACCTAAGAGTTCTCTGGTCCCCTGAGGCCAGGTGGGAGGCTATGGTGATCTGGAGAAACTCCTGTTGCCACAATGCAGTCCCTCTGGATTCTTTCTTCTGGAATGCCTTTAAAGCAACACACATACATTTTCTGTATGCAGAGGCTAAGCAGGTAGACAGGACAGGAGTCTGCTTAGAAGCTTGGTTAAGCAGAGTCTGCATGGTATTCTACTTGGCAGAGGGGTGCATAAGGCTCAGAGGGGTTCTGGTTGTTGAAAAGGAACAGAATCCCTTCACATTTCTCCAGACCCTACAGGCGTGACTGTCGTAGGAACCAGGATGCTTTGCCAGAAATGAGCCAGTTGAGAAGGCCTGCCCCTCTGGTGAGGAGGCCACACCAGCCCAAGTGTGCTTACCTGAGATCACTTCACCACCATGGCCCTGTTTGAGGAAGCTGAAGACGGTTTTCTGATGATAAGCACAGTCGATGCAAGCCTGGACAGCCTGCTGCAACACCACGGAGGCGCGGGCTGGCCCAAAATGGTCAGGAAGCAGCTGGACCTTCTTCTTATCTAAGTGGGGGCCTGTGCTGCCATTCTTGTTCAAGTAAATACAAACTGCGGGAGACAAAGAGTCAAAACAGCTTGAAGAGCGTCCAGGGTAGAGAAGTGACAGAACGGTGCTCTCTTCTGTGTCTCATCCTCTGGGCTCTTGCCCCTAGCAGGATTCTCAGCTGCTAGGCCGGTGAAACATTGGGAGGGGGCAGAGGGTGGCTGTATCCAGCTGCAACCAGCCCAGATTGCATGACCAAAGGCTCTGGGAACAGAGCCTGCTGGAAGAACAGCCCAGACCAAAAGCCAAGGCACAGAACTTATACTTGGTCTTCTGTGCACTGAAAAGAGAATCTAAACAACTCCCTAGGTGTATGTACTTTCATGTTCAGTACTTGGTTGCCTCACATATTCCTGTAGGTCTTATATGTGTAAGGGATGGTAGGGGCCATGGCAACATTAGCCAGAGTGTGCTAGTGTGTGTTTGGGCTTGCACTTAGAATGGTCACACCACTGTGACCTGCCTTGATTTCTGTTTTGGGTGGTAGAGTCCCTTTGCTATCTTTTGCATTAACACTCAGATCCAAAGAAAGTAGTAAAACAGAGAAATATGGGACCAAAGAAAACAATGGAAAGGACCCGAGGGTCCCATCTGGAGAGTTGTCTGTTTCAGTAGTTTATCAGGTCATGGCAGCTGGGCACTCTCCTGCTGCAACTCTCTACCTGGCACTGTGCTGGGCGGGGAACAGGGAAGGCACATGAGTAAGAAGCAGTCCGAAACTGAGGTGCTTCCTTGATCTCCAGAGAGAACCCATGGCAGCCTGGTCAGCTATGACATTCTTCTGGTATGCCTTCTAGGACCCACTTGAAGAGGGTACTCTGCTTTCTCACACTGTCATGGATCGCTAATGGAAGAAAGAACAGGTGAGCAAAAGGTCTTTTTTGCCATTAAAGGCAAAATAGAGAAGAGCAGTAGCTGTGGTGGCCATGGATGGACTACCATGCTCGTCCGTGGGGCTTCAAGTTTAGCAGATGTAAAACAAGGGGGTTGAGTCGCATGCTCTCTGAGGATTCCTCACCTAATTCGAAGGGAAAGGGAGATGGAGAGACGGAAATGGAAATAGTAAGAGTGGCAGGATGTGGAAGGTGACAGGTAGGAAAGAAAGAAGGGAAAAAGGTAAAGAATAAACCAGATGCATTGAAATACACATTCAACTCTGTTCTCTGCTAAAACCCTCTAACATGAGTCAGACAATAAAGGAGACAGCTTAAAATTTTGGAAGCTGGAAAGCAGATAAGCAAAGCAGCAACTGACTGAGCAGACCCAAAAAAGCCAAATCCTTAACCAAGAATGGGCAATGATGAGAACCAAGCTGTTTCATCTTAAAATTCACAAAAGGCCCAAGAATGGGCAGGGGCCCCTGGAGGTGGGTGTGAAGGCAGATCTAATGAAAGAAGGATTGGGTGAAGTCTGTTAAATAGTTAGGACTTCCATGTCATGATATGACTCTTTCATTGAACACGAAAGTAAAAATTCAAAAACTCAAAGAGATAAGAAGAGTAGTTAAAATAAATGAAGACATATATCTATGAAAAGACACTCAGAAGAATGTTCATAGCAGCTTAGTCATAACAGCCTAAAACTAGAACCAACCCAAACGTCCACAATGAGAGAATGCATATACAAATTGTGGTATATTCATTTATTGGGAGAGCATTCGGCAGTAAAAAAGAATGAACTATTGATAGGGTGCTTCTCAAAAACATGACTTTTGGGGCGCCTGGGTGGCGCAGTCGGTTAAGCGTCCGACTTCAACCAGGTCACAATCTCACGGTCCGTGAGTTCGAGCCCCGCGTCGGGCTCTGGGCTGATGGCTCAGAGCCTGGAGCCTGTTTCCGATTCTGTGTCTCCCTCTCTCTCTGCCCCTCGCCCGTTCATGCTCTGTCTCTCTCTGTCCCAAAAATAAATAAACGTTGAAAAAAAAAAATTAAAAAAAAAAAACAAAAAACAAAAAAAAAAACAAGAAAAAAAAAACATGACTTTTAGTGAAAGAAACCAAATATAAAATGTACATATAGTATAATTCTATTTCTATATTAAGTTCAAAACAGGAAAATCGAATCTACAGTGAGAGAAATCAGGATGAAGATGGGAGAGAAGGCCGACTTACAAGGAGGCATGACGTAACTTCCAGGGGTGGTAGAAATGACTTTCATCTTGCCTGGAGTTCTGGTTACGTGGTGCTTACAAAGATTAAAACTCATTTAATTGTACTTTAAGATATGTATGTTTCACTGCACGTAAATTTTATTTGATTTGTGTGTTTACACAAAAGGAAAAACATATATAACCAGTCCTGTGATGATTACAAAAAGAAATTCTAACATGGATTAAAGGGTGAAAGATAAAAGGCAAACTACAAAACCTTGAGAAGACTGTGGCAGTTTAAAAACATGACTCCCACACCTCTGACCTCCCTTCCATCGATCTGTGTGATACTTGACCAACAGACTATGTAGAAATGACCCTGTGCCAGTTTCTGGGCCCAGGGCTTGCTTACTTAAGAAGCTGACAGTTTCCATTTCCTCTTTCTCGGGACATTCACTCTTAGAACCCAACTACCACACGTGAGGAGCCAAAGCTACCCTGTGGCAAGGTCTGTGTGGAGAGAAACCAACAGCCAACTTGTCAGCCACGTGTAGAAGAGGGTCCTCCAACCCTAGTCAAGTCACCTCAGCGGACGGGTACAAGCTGCTGCCACCTAGCCTGCCCACACCGTTGTTTTAAGCCATGAAGTTTTGTGGTGGTTTGCTATGTAGCAAAAGATTATTGGAAGAGACAGTGGTGCCAGAAATAGGGTACCGCAGTAACAAAAACCTAACACACATGGCATTGGCTTTGAGACTGGAAAGCAGAAAGAAGCATGAAGGGCCACAAAAAGGGTGTGAGCGAAAGCAGAAAGGGGCTTGAACAGAAGCCTGTAAAAGGCGGCGGGGGGAAGGGGGGGGTCAAGCAGTTCTTTTCATTTTGTACCATCTCTGTCCTCATTAGTCTGAGCTGGCAATGCTTCGAGAATGGAAGCCTATAAGATCTTGAGAAGGCTGTCAGTGAAAGCCTAAGGCAAGAGAGGAAAATCTTATTGGAAGATGGAGGACAGGGGCCACGTGGGTAGGTAGTGATTTAGAGTTTGATGACACTGTCATCTGCAGTAACAGGGGACTAGGAAATAAATGTACCTGGTGAGCTTCGTGAAATAGCTAAAGAGACTTCTAGACAAAGTAATGAAAGTGCAAGGTGGCTTCTCATTGCCTATGATAAAAATGCAGAATGAGAAAGATGAGCTTAAAAAATATATAAAAATTTAAAAAGCCCACAAATAAAATTGCTTCTCATTTCTAGTCCTTCCAGAAGGCAAATAATTCTAAGTTATGAAAGGGTCAAATCCAGATGGGGCAATAAAATATTTTATTAAAGTGCCAGAATGATTAAGACTATGCTTCGTAGACTCTTTCTGACCAAAGGGCCCTCTAATAATCTTAGGGGTCAGTCTTGCAGATTTTTTCCCTTAAACTGTAGGAGTTCCTAAGACTCTTAAGAGCATTGTCTCACAGCAGCCACAGAGGAAGCCCAAAGTAGAGAAGAGCTTATCTTCAAGAGATTTTGGTTGTGCCTTTGTCTAATGAAGAAAATCCCAATAATATTCCTAGTAAACCCCTCAAGTTTCTAAGAGACTCATTGTGGTGGAAGCATTGGCAGCTCAGACTAAAAGGGACAGAAATGGTACAGAATGAACAGAAGAAGCCTTTAGACCCAAACCTTTCACAGACGGGATGAAGACCAAGAAAGCAATCTCAGTTTTCTGTGGAAAAGGAAGGATGATTCAGAGGACAAAGCTGAGAGCCATGGAAAACAGTCCCAAGAAAGTAATATTGGGTCTAATTAAGGAGCTGGCAACATGCGCCCGGCTGGATTTCAGAATTTCTACAGGCCAGGGACTACTCCCGGTTGGATGGGTGTATCTGTAAGTTACCCAATGCCTGTCCCACCACTGTAGGTGGGCTACGTGGGGAGCAGACAGCATTTTTCTTTAGTTCACAGGTCTTCAGATTGAGAGGAACGACACTCAAGGAGCTGTGCCTGACAATCTGCACCTGGGAGGTCTCATCTGCACCTGCATCTGATTTAGATGATGAGATCCCAGATCCAGAGCCTGATTTGTAAAGGTAAGAGACTTTTAATGGAGACTCTTGCAAGGGGAAGAATAAATTTCCCAGGCAGGAAAAATGTAAATGAATTATGTCCAGAGAGTAGACTGAGGTGACTTTAAAATATGGTCCATAATTCTTTGACCCTCTTCCTATAGAAGAGTGGGGTCTATTCTCCTTCTCTTGAATCTGAGCTCTATGACTGCTTAATCAGTAAAATATGGTAGAAATGATGCTATGCTAATTAGGGGCCTTGAGTCTTAAGAAAATGGAAGTCTCTACTTCTTGTCTCTTGGGACAATTGCTCTTGGAACTCACCTACCATGGTATGAGGAAGCCCAAACTACCCTCTGGAGAGGTCCGTGTAGAGAAGAACCAATAGCCGGCACCAATTTTGCTAGCCATGTGAATGAACCATCTTGGAACTGGATCCTCTAGTCCCAAATGAGCTACTCCAAATGATGCCATGTAGAAGAGAGATGAGTTGTCTTAATTTTAATAAGGTATCACCTTTTTCTGGTATATAAAAGGTTATATGCCTTTCTTTCATAGTTTATGCTTTTGCCCTGTTTTTAAAATGTATAAATTTTATATTAAATATTAAAATATTAAAATTTATAATTGTCATGTTTTGGTTTTCTACTGCATCCATGAAATCAGAGGCTGTAAAAAAATTGGAGACGGGTTCAGTATGTTAAATGCTTGGAAGTGGCTATTCTATCCTAACAACAAGTGAAAAGCTGAACAAAATGAAAAATTAACAATCCTTTTTAGATCCTTCAAAGAAGTGAGGTCACAGGGCAAACTGATGCCACCCAAGTTTGGAGACAAATGGGAGAATACAGAAAACCACATTTTAC